CAACAGTGTCTCGTAGCAGGAGTGATGTTAGAGGGTCGTAGAGGCGGGTTGCTTGTTTGCAGAACAGGTGAATCACGTCTTCCATCATTGCTCACGTCATCTCCGGCGTTTCTTGATGTCACCAGGTTACTAGGCCGTAAACACCAACTGTGTATACCCTCGTGCCGCCGACTTTAGGCCAAAGGCGACAATTTTGCGACCTTCTATTGGCGAGTCCCGGTACTCTGTAGGGAGACCGTGCCTTCCACCTGTGACCGCCTTAGTTCTGCTTTCTTGTTACTTCAGATGACGTAATCATTAATTTTCCGGCGAAATTCTTGAGTACTGCTACGTGCTTTCCATTTCTTGACCACTCCTCCAACACTGCTGGAATGGCTGCAGTCTTGATGACGCAGCAGGTGGGTAGTGGTGATCTCGAGACAGCTACCCCGGCGTTGTATGGCACCTCCGGTGACTGCTATAATGTGGACAGCTCGCTGGCCCTGACAACCTCGTTAGTGACGTGAGGCGCCGGCCGGGTGACTCTTGGACAGTCACTCATCCCCAAAGTAACTGATGTATGAGTTACTGGGTCTGGTGGGGGGAGGTCTTTGTGTAACGTGCCTCCCCCCTCGGTCTTTACAGACAAGGGTTCACGTGTGGCTGGAACAACTGGGTCGGTGTACCAATCAGACCTGGGAACAGACAGACACAACACAGCGGAAGCATAGATATTCTCTGGGTTTGGTGGAGGTGGAACCCCAGAGCACGGTAAAAGTTGCTACCTGAGTCAAGTATAGAGATAGCTCACCTCATTGCCTTCACTGGAAAATCTAATGAATACTAAATTATACTAACCAAGGAAGTTACTTTACTGTACAGCGCGAGATCTCGTCACCATAGGGTGGCGAGACTGCACCTGACTACTGATGAGTGATGACAGAGGGTCATCCTCATTCCCTGACTCGTCGGTGAAGCCATGAGTCAGCACTGCTGAGTCAGGAACTAGACCCGCTGAAGGCAGTTCTAATTCCTCTCTAGCATGATAATGTTTCAATTTATTCACATGAATTGTCCTTTTCACCTGGTCCTCGAACACTCCTTTTATAACAAGATTAACCAGCCCCGCCCTTTTAATTACTCTATATGGTCCTCGCCACCTCGGAGCTAGTTTCCTGCTCTGATTGGCGGGCGCAGCCTCATTCACTCTCAATACGAGGCTTCCTTCCGTCAACTCTGACTCCGACTGACCCTGGCAGTCTCCGTGGTGTAGTGGTAAGACACTCGCCTGGCGTTCCGCGAGCGCTATGTCATGGGTTCGTATCCTGGCCGTGGAGGATTTACTGGGCGCAATTCTTTAACTGTAGCCTCTGTTTAACGCAACAGTAAAATGTGTACTTGGATGAAAAAACGATTCTTCGCGGCAGGGGATCGTATTCCAGGGACCTTAGGATTAAGGACTTGCCCGAAACGCTACGCGTACTAGTGGCTGTACAAGAATGTAGCAACTCTTGTATATATCTCAAAAAAAAAAAAAAAAAAAAAAAAAGAGAGGCGCACTTTCTTGTCATAAAAATGAGCATACCGAGTCCGTGCCTTCTTGGACGCTTCAGCTGCAATATTCCATGCATTTCCCATTTTTCCAAGGACCTCTGAAGGATAGTCCTCCCCGTATGCAACATTATGTCTGTTAAGCAGACCTGAGTAGAAATTGCATGAATTACCAGTAAACAAATGAAGTGGTTGAGTGTTAATTGATTGGTGGATGGCAGTATTCAAGGTGAACTGAACATAGGGTACGTGTTCATCCCAGGTGTTTGCGTCTTGTTCAGCAAGGATTGCAAGCATATCCTTGACTGAACGATTAGTCCGTTCCGTCATTCCGTTTGCTTGTGGGTGGTAGGCTGCTGTAAAAGCCGAAGTTGTCTCTAAAATCTTACACACTTCTCTAAATATATTCCTATTGAATTCTTGACCCTGGTCAGAGACTAAAACTTTAGGAGGTCCGAATACAGTAACGAACCTACGCAAGAACGCATCTGTAACCGTACGAGAATCCTTCTGAGGTAATGCAACTAGTGTAGTGTACCTAGACAGATGGTCAACTAGCACCAACACGTATCTGTTACCTGAATGACTGTGATGTAAATCAATCAAATCGGCCCCCACACGATCTAACGGTTCACGAATTTCAGGAAATTCCTGAAGTGGGGCTTGTACCTTAATGGTGCCTTTCCTCCTCTGGCAACGAGGGCACGACTTCACGAAATTGATTACCTCAGAAAGTAATCCTGGAAAATAAAATAGAGACTTTGCTTTTAAGTGCGTTTTGAAGATCCCCGGATGCCCTGCAATTTTTGAAGCATGCGCAAGTTTTAATGCTGATGACCGCAACGCGTCCGGAATAACTAGTTGAAATACTGCCCTATCATTCTGGCTATTAACATAATACAGGACGCCCTGTTTCATTTCAAAATCATGAATAGGTAACTTCTTTTTCTTCTTCGGGTATTTTCCTCCTTCTAAATACTCAATAATCTCTTTCCATCTAGGCTCGCTCATCTGGTATTCTCTCATTTTATCTGATGGAATGGTTTCAATATTTTCCTTAACTTGAACTGCCGCTATATTTCTACTTAACGTATCTGACACAACATGGGCTGGACCAGGCTTGTACAAAATCTGGAATGAGTGGGCCGAAAGTTCGTGAGACCAGCGTGACATTCGTGGGCATTTCGTTCGCTTTTTAAATATGTGTGTTAATGCTCTATGGTCTGTGTAGATTACAAAATTCCGCTGAAATAGGTAAGGCTCGAAATACCTAACTGATTCTACCACTGCCAGTGCCTCCCGATCCGTAGCTGAATAACGAACTTCAGGCCCCTTGACCTTCCTACTGAAATAGGCTACCGGATGGGGTAAATTATCTGCGTCTCGCTGAATTAAGCACCCGCCAATAGCAATACCGCTGGCGTCAGTGTGCACTTCCCACTCTTTCTCAAAATCAGGAATAGCCACTACCGGTGTCGTGATTAGTTGGTCAAACTAAATGTCAAAGGGAAACGAGGGACATTACAGCTGAATTGAAAACGAACGTAAACAGATTGATTGAAACTGTGAACACCAAGAAATCCGGACTCCACCTGCCATATGTTATCGGGGAATACAAACCTGCTTATGTATATGGAAATGACAAGACCCACAAGCCTGGAAACCCACTTTGGTGAATCATCAGCGAGAAACCCACACCCCACATTCAGACTTGCTAAGCGACTCAACTGCCAGCTGACTTCTTATGTACTTTAAGCTTATGTGCTTTAAGCCTGGAGTCTCCAAAGGAATTTGTTGACTTACTGCAGGGAGCACGGGCCACACGAATAAGAGCCTCTCTGGATGTGGAGTCGTTGTTCACCAACGTGCCTGTGGACTAAGCAATCAGGATGATGATGGGACAGAGTGTATCATGATCCGGCTTGACTAGACCACACATTAGAAGATGAAGGGACGACGACGTTTCGGTCCGTCCTGGACCATTCTCAATTCAACTTGAGAATGGTCCAGGACGGACCAAAACGTCGTCGTCCCTTCATCTTCTAATGTGTGGTCTGGTCAACATACTTTAGCCACGTTATTGTGACTCATCGCCTGTATATGATCCGGCTTGCACCCAATTAGAGATACCATAGAGCATACAGAGGAAGTTACTCAAAGCCTGCACCAAAGAGGCACCATTCTCGAGTCCCGTTGGGCATAGAAAAGCAAGTAGATAAGGTTGCCATGGGTTCTCCCCTAGGTGTCCTGTTTGCGAACTTATACATGGGTACCATAGAGCAGAGGGTCTTTGATGACATGGACGGGACATCAAACCCGCAATATACTGCACATACGTTGATGACATTTTTATGCAGGTACCTGATGTCAGAAGTTTGCAGCAGCTTAAGTAGGTATTTGAGTAAAATTCGGTGTTAAATTTCACTTACGAGACAGAGAGTGATGGGAAGATGCCCTTTCTAGATGTAACAGTCATGGAACGAAATGATGGCTTCCACAATTCAGTCTACAGTATGGAAACGAACACAAGAATGTTCCTTAATGCCAATAGTGACTGCCCAGAGAAGTACAAAAGGAGTGTTGTCAATGCTTTTGTCGACCAGGCTCTCACTCATAGCTCTGGTTGGAAGCAGGTCGGTAAAGAACTCTGTAGGGTACGGCACACAGTGTAAACAATGAAATCACAATAACGAAAAGTGCACGTCAGATTGATTCACGATGCTGGTTTAATGTGGATATCAAGTTCCATTGTTTGTCTTAGATATATTTAATTATAAAAAAAAAAATATTTGTTTTTTTAATTGTTAATACAAGTACCATCATATGCAAGACTGCTTGCAAATTTAACATATGTTTTGTCAATTATAATGTCCTAAACCAAGACAAAAAAATTATGTTTATAAAATACATTCATAAATGAGGTTTAATTAAAATATATCATCAGGTACTTCCCTAATAAATGTAGTATAAAAAATTTGCAGTAAGCATTAATAAGCCATCTTCCTGATAATATAGTACTTTTTTATAACTATGTGGACAATTTGTACAAATATCGACGACAAGGACAAATAGAAAGTAAAATTTGGAACTATTCACTTTATAGTCCAGAAAAATAAAGGTAAATTCATACTTAAAAGTTCCTTGGTCTAGTATAGCACATATGTGTACTAAACTAGGCCTCATATAGCATGTCCTATCTGTTAATATTGTTGAAACATACATATGGACATGAACAATAAAATAAAGCATATATAATGTTTGAACTCGCCAATTAAAAAACTATACATTTGGGTATAGAAAAATCATCGTAATTTCATTTGTTGGGACAATAGTAAATTACAAACGTCTTGCAAATCCATCGTCAACACAAATACAATTGACCCGTTTAATAAAAAAGAAATGTAATAATATTTTCATATTTTAGGAAACTGTGAGTTAAGTCACTAAACTTCACTAACGATTATTCACAGGTGCAGTGTGTACATGCTGGTGCCATACAGTCCCCAGGGAGCCCAGGCGCTGAAGGTGGCCTCCTGGACGCCCCACCGAGGCCTCACCCTCACCTCCAGCCTCCCTCTCTTCCCTGACAAGTTCTCTAAGTACATAATAATATACTGAGCAATGATGAAACTACCACTAATCATCTAGAGTGAATCTGGCCCTAGCTTCGGTAGGAGACAGACGTGTTGCCTCGGTGCTCTGGCAGTTGGTGTTGTTTACCAGTTCCGCCAGTTGGGGGTAGGTGTGTCTCTGCCCGCCTGTGCTGACGTGGCGTTACGATGGGGGTCCCTCTCCCCCCTGTCGTCCGGGCTCAGTCTGTGGGACTTGAGTTCTCTGTGCGGGCCGGTTACCCGGAGATTTTGCTGGCTTGTGATATGCTCTCTGTCCCTGTGTTTGAGATTTATAGGGTCGAGTTGGTAACGGCCCGTAGGGCGAGTGTGATGTTCACAGAGGAGGTGGCGTATCGCGATTTTCTCCGGCGATACGAGGGGCGGACATTACCCATGCCAGATGGCGCGGGCACTGTTACCCTCTCTGATAGAAGTGGTGCACTTACTTACGTCAGTGTGCATGGGGCTCCCTTGGAGTTTCCGGAGGGTCTGCTACGGCGGTATTTCGGCCGGTTTGGCGCAGTAGTTAGTGTGAGGGTGAACGTGGTGTCTTCCAGTCCTCTTAAGGGTGTGAGGACTAACATTCGCACCCTGGGCACGAGACTCCGGGCGGATATTCCGTCCTCTGTGCACCTTATGGGGTACAACGTTCGGGTGTTTTACGCCCGCCAGCCGCAGACGTGTTATCGTTGTGGTCTTTTGGGCCATCAGGCTGCTGCCTGTTCTGCGCCTGCCGTTGCACCAGTGAATCTTTTCAGTGAGGAGGATTTTCCGCAGCTTCCTGTGGGGGATGTTTCGGTGGATTTGGACGTCTTTTCGGCTGTGGAGGTGCCCTCTGTAACAGCTGTTGCTCCGCCTGTTGCCCCCCTGTTGTTGTCGCCTCTCCTCCGGTCGTTGTGTCCTCACCTAATGCTCAGCCTGTTCCGGCTGGTGTCCCTGAGCCTCTGCCGTCTGCTCGGGCCCCTCATCTTCCAGTTCTTCCTATGCTGCGTCTGTCCTGGTCCCTGCACCCTCGCCGTCTGTGCTGGGTGATGGGGTGGCTGCGGAGCCTCCTGCTGTGTGTGGTCCGGTTCCCCCTGTGGTAGAGGCTGCTGCCGTTCTGCGTCAGGCGTCGGTTCGTCCGGCTAGTGGTGCCCGTGCCTCTGGATCTGCTTCCGGCTCTGACGATATCCGGCCAGAGCCCAAACGTTCCAGGCGTTCGTCTACGGCCTGGGCTGATGTTGGGGACTTTAGTGACTGTGGGTCTTCAAGTGTTGACGGCGTGGATCCGACTGAGTCGTTGTCTCCGCGGTTGGTGGTGGCGTAGGTTCATGTGCCTGCTGGTGCTGATGCCCGTGTCTCAGGTGTGTCTTCTGTTTCTTCCTCGCCCGGGGGCTCTCCGCGGTGGGGTGTGGTGGCTTCCGCCTCCAGGGATGGTGCGGTGCTGGTGCTGGGCGTGGCCTGGTGGTGACTTTACGTAAGGATACGCACCGCCATGATTCCTTGCAGTCGTCTGGTGGTGTGCCCATTGCCGCTGGTGCCCCTGTGGTGGTGCCCTCTGTTGAGCCCTCTGTCGAGCCCCTCCTGCGGTGTTGTGCATTGAGGACCTGGAGGACCGGGTTTCCGAGTTCCTGCTGCTTGAACGGCCGGAGGACTTTTCTGGTGGGCAGGTTCCGGGTGTATGGGATCGGGTGGCGGCTACTGGCGTCCGGAGGGACACCGTGTGGGTTCCACGTCTGCGGGTGTTTGTTTCCAAGGTTCCGGTTCACATGGCGCCCCCGGTGTTAGGTCACGCCCCCTGGACAACGTGGCTGCTTTGGGAGGCTTTCAATGTGCGCTTTCAACCGGATATGTTCCGGGCAAATATGTACGCTGATTTCATGTTACTGTAATTGTTGTTTTTGTTGGTATTCTTGGCTAGTTGGGTGCTGTGCGAAGTGTCTTGTTATGTTTCTTGATGTACTTTATGTTGTGTTTTCTTCTCGGTCCTTCGGGCCAGTGCATGTATGTTGTTGTGTTTGTACCTGTTTTGTTTTCTGGTTTGCGTTGTTTGCTTGTTAATTATTATTGTTTATTTTGACCTCCCCCTTTGTTTGTTACGGGGCGGAAGGTTTGGTGTGAGTGTTTTTATTCCTGTATTGTTTCTGTGCTGTACGTTTGACATGGTGTTTTCATATTGCTTTACCTGTTGTACGTGTTTGTTCTTTATGTTATGTTTGGAATGTATTGTGATTGTCCTGTTATGTTTCCTGTTATGCCTCTTGATGTATGTTTTGTTTTGTGATGTTACTGTGATGGCTAGTTTGCCATTGTATTATGTTTTGTGCCTTGATGTATGCTGTATTTTTCTATGCATTTATCGTTTTTGTGTTTTGTTGTGCTATGCTGTCGGCCCTTCTGGCCGGTGGTCTATTGTTTTATTTTGTTCTGTTCTGTATTCTGTGTTGTTTTTATTGTGTTGAAACTGCATGCTTTGCATGTAAAAATAAAAATAAAAAAACTAAAAAAAACTAATCATCTAGCTCCAAACCGCAGATATATTAATACATTAAACCACATTTTATTTAAGTAATTAATACTTGGACTCTAACTGTACAGACTAGACTGTACAGATTAGACTATAGGTTTTTCCGAAAAGCTTTGGATAATAGTGGCTTCATTAGTATGTGAATCTCCGGTCCCTACAATTATATATTATGCCTATACTCTTTGTATACACATTGTTTGGAATAAAAAGTTATTGGTATTATTATTAAAAAATAAACAGGAAACTATGTGGCACTCACTTGAATCATTACAGTTGTTATACTAACTATTCTTTCTTCTAAATACATGTTAATAGGGCCTTTAGCTCCTAATTTTTCACCAGAACTGCAATAGTAAACAGATTTAAGATTATGGGCAGTAAGTAAGAAAATAGATAAATGACTGGCTAGGAGATGTGGACATTTTGCTGGAGGCTTGAGGCTCGCTTCTGGAGGACCTTGACCTCACTTGAGTGCCAGACATCGCAGGGGGAAGCCGCGCTCCGTTGAGCTCCCGTCAGAAGGGAACCCCTAGTGATATATCTCTAAGAGAAGAGAAGTGTGCAGACGTGCCAGCTGTGGAATCGAGCTGGGAACGTTGTGGTCTCAAGTCCTGGTCGACGAGCAGATATTAAATCGCCCAGAAGCATTATTGTGTGCTGTGTGGAGCGCCCTGACCAGACGCCGTCAGAGGGAAAGCGCCCTCGACCAATTAATCTGTGGTAAGCACGATAAACGCCAGTTCATAGTGATTGCTTGTAGTTGGTCGTGTGCCCAGCGACAGTAGCAATGTTTATTTATAGGTTAGACATGTTTTAATAAGGCAGAAAGCCTGAAATAAGAGAGTGGAGAGGGAGGAACACGGAGCGACGTCCGCCCCCTCTGAGCGCTGGCGGACGACTGAGGGAGCCTGGCTCCGGATGGAGGAAGACCCTCCCAGCGAGTGAGGACCGCCGCCAGGCGAGGTGGAGTATGGACCCGCCCAAAACGGGGGAGTCCACTCTCACTGTAGGTAGAGGACAGATAGAGGTTTGAGGCAAGCATATTGTGTGGTTATTTTTGTTTATGTGTTAAAGGGGAACATTTTATTGGAGTGTCGATGGGTTGCAGGTTTGTTCTTTGGGGAAGAAGTTGCTGAGAACTTCGAAGCCAGCAGATGATGTAGCTGATGAGACTCCAAGGTAGTGGAGCAGAGGACCTCGAGCTGTGAGGAGAGGCAGCAGTGAAGAGGAGTGTCACGTGCTTCTGTAGAGGTGGTGTAGCAGCCAAGAGAGCTGTGGAGGAACCTAGCAGAAGGGTGAAGCACCGTAGTTGCACAAGGAAACTTCATGATAGCAGCCGGGAGGAGCTGCAGAGGATCCTGGTAGTGAAGCCCGGCAGAACCTAAAGATATTAGGGTAGTGAACTTCCAGAGGTGGAAGGGGAAGTTCTGGTGGATTACTAGTAGGGAGTTGATAATGTTTGGTTGTCATTAGCATGCAAGACGCAGTGAGAGGTGAGTGACTGTTGGCATTCTTACGTCAAGGAGTTTTTTATACTGAAGTATCAATGAGCATTTATACTGGTATATGTTATTGCATTCAAATGCTGATTTTCTATATATATATTATCTTGCTGATAGTGCAACAGTGTATGTAGGCTTGACCAACTTGACGAGGTTAATAGTATCAGGTGGTGAACCAGGAGATATGATACCGCTTGATAAGCTGATAATAGAGTTCTGATGGTATTGGAATGCAACCTGATTGTGATATTATAGAGTATAGGATTCATTATTATTATATGTGTGTATGTATCGTGTATGTGCTTTGTTCAGTAAATGTGTCATAATTTGCTGGTGTTTGCCCTTGTCCTAGTGAGGCTTCCCAGGAGGTAGTAACGAAGGAGAGAGAGAGAGAAAGAACCAAGAACCACTGCTCTGGACAGGGTAAAAGGTAATACTAATAAGTCAAAAGGGGATTGAGGAGATCATATCACCTAAGGAGAGAGTGGGGAGTCACAGCGGCTCGAGTGGGTGTGTGCACGTGACAACGAGGCTAAGTGTTGGAGCCGCATCCCCTAAACGTGTGACGTGGAGCCCCTCTCCAAGAGCCAGAAGCGCCTAGTGTGATCTCCTAGTGAAGTGTAAGCACTCTACCGAGTTGTGGGTTGGGTTGTCCGTAGAGAAGGATCAACGACGACAACACCAACCAACCCACAGTCTATAAGAACAGGAAGTAAATACGTTGTTGATCATGTTGGTGGTGGAGGGACGGGTTGATGAGGGTCCTCGGTAGTACAGTCCTACTGTCCTCAGACCAAGTTCATTCAATCCAGTGATCGACCACAAAGAGAGTTTCATAAATTTTAACATGGCGTTTATTCAAAATATTATTTGTTTTTAATATATATTTATATTAGCATACTGTGCACATTTAGGCATTGGTTAGGTTAGGTTAGGTTAGGTATTTAGGTTCTGTTGCAATTATTTGTATTTGTAGTAAG